TTCTTCTTTCTTCTTCTTCTCTCTCTCTCTCTCTCTCTCTCTCTCTCTCTCTCTCTCTCTCTCTCTCTCTTCTGTTTTGTTTCTTCAATAAGGTAGCGCAGAATTCGAAATATCGTGTTCTCGCAATAATAAATTAGAATTTCATATTTCGCTTCGATCTTTTCCTCGGAATATACGACATAGAATCGGTAATACTTACTTCTTACTCACTCGCAACGAAGTTGCAAAATTGCGTGCTTGGTATTATTTTTTCTTTCTTTTTTTTTCCTCTCTTTTTTCTTCTTCAAATGCATTCATTTTCCTTTCGCGAGTTTTTTAACGTCGCATTAAAAACATCGAATCGAGCAATTTTCCCTTCGCAACAACCGAGAACGACGAACGTTAAAATAAAATATTTCCCTTCGTTTCTTCTATATCCTGTCACACGTATCGAAATACGTATCGAAACGATTAAAATTCCTTCGTCTAATTAATTTTTTTCCTCTTTCTCTTTTTCTTTCTTTCTTTCTATCTCTCTACAATATAATTTTTCATGAAAATTCCCGTCTCATTTTTATACTTCGACCTTTCGACAACCTTCGACCATTGCATCGGAATTGTTGAATAATTTCAGAATAGATACCGAGCCGAATATTCAATGACGGAAGAAGAAATGACGTATGCCAAGCACCAGATATGATAAATACCGAACTTATAATTTAATGCCAATTTCATGCATTCTACAGTTATAAGATTATCATTAAATTTCACATAGGAATCGTATAAACGTTCGTATCGTTTCTCGCGCCAGATTTTATTCCAGCTGGATAAAAGAATTCGCCAAGAATTTGTTCATTTCTTCGACGCAAAGTGCGAACTTGAGGATCGATTGAATCATTGCGTCGTCGAATGTTAACAAAAAAAAAAAAAAACGAATCTACACCGCACATTCCTTCTTACAAATTCTCTTTTTTAATGATCTAAAATTCATTCAAGATATTCCATTTCGTATTTATCCGATATTTCTCTGTCTCGATCGAATCGAAAAAATAAAATGGAAATTCCTCACCGAGAAATAATATAATATAATAATAACAACGAGAAAATCTGAGGAATAGAATAAATAAGTTGCTCGTGAAGAGAAAAAAGAGAATCCACGTGATCAGGAAGCAAAATTAGACGTGGATCGTACGTATAGCGGGAAACGATGTGTGTCGGACTCGAGAGGGTTGGGACACGTGCACGAAAACGGCCGAGAAAGAAGACACATGCGATTTCTTACGGCTTCGTTTAGGCCGGGGATTAAAGCGCGGCCTTCGAGAAGGTCAGGTGACGGCCAATGTGCCACGGTCTTCGAGGAAAAAACGACTAACTCGTAGCGACGCATGCTTGCTCCTGATGCACCGCCATTTCTTGCCCCAGAAAAATTGGGTCATCCCTCTCGATCGATTCTCTCCCCTTTCGAGAGAAAAAAAGTGAAATTTTTCGTGCGATTAATCAACAATCCTTCGAGTCGATCGAATTATGGAATTGATATAAATTTTCACTCACGTATGATTGTGTGTATGTATATATATATATATATATACAGAGTTTTCGTAATTGTTACAACGTTGGAGGAATTGTAATTTTAAAGAAGAAAGAAAGAAATGTAATATTTATATTCGAACGCATTTAAATTTCGAACGAGTCAAAGTTAGAGGAATTAATAGGTTTTTGCGGTGACGCATATAATTTTTTTTTTAATATCTAATATAAAGGAGAATTGTTTTTTATAACGAGGAAAAGGTTTAGGGAAGGAGGGGAAGATTTTTGATCGGGAAAAATTATCGCGATAACGTATATACGGTTCATCGTATTTTCGCAGCGAAAAATTTTTATCCAGCTTGAATGGAAAAGTTTGAAGTGCGGCGTGTGCGATCCACGCGGCATGAAACGTGTTAAAGACCTTGTATTTAATTCGATTTCTCTATTAAGTCGATCTCTCTATAAACAATGTTGAACAGCCGTTTTAAAAATTCACTTACGTAGAATCGCTTTTAATATAAGATTTTAAAAAACAGAAATTAATTTGTTTCGATCCTCGTAAATTAAATGGATAATAAACGAGAATTTTAATGTACGATTATTGTTTAAAAAAAATCGGGAACACTGTACAGTATTTTTCTAAACGGATAGGAAATTCGTTTTAAATTTAAAATTTGAGAGAGAAATGATTCTCTCTCGAATAACAATAATTGGATCGAAAGTGATAGATGATGTTAATTCTTTATTGAAATTAAAATAAAATTGTGTACACAAATATTCGATCATTCTTCAAAATGGGATTAAAAGTATTT